CGGTGGAATGGATATAAGTTTTTTTTTACGACCATAGGTTAATAAAATAAAAAAAAAAAAAAAAAAAAAAAAAAAAAAATATCACAATCATAATAATATATACTATACGCGCGTATAATACTCGCTCACCCCTACCGTGATATTATCGTTTTGCACGTTTTACTAAACTAGCTACACCCACCACTACCACCTAAGTAAGCTTTGCTTTGCTCTTACGGTGAATACTTTACTTACATACATACTTACACTCTGCTTAACCATGCTTGGCTAGCTAACTGAGGGTTCGAACGAATTAATGGATGAATGAATGAAAAAAAAAAAAAAAAAAAAAAAAAAAATATATATATATATATATATATATATATATATATATATATATATATATATAATATAATTTTCTCCTTTCTTTTTTTTAATTATTCGGGTGTTTGTTTGTTAATTTATTTATTTGGAGAAGGGTATTGTTGTTGTTGTTGTATACCGTACTCCGCATTAGTCATTGCTAGCAATGTACCCACAGACAGGTAGACTACTCGTACTCGATAGGCGGGCTAACAGGCCTGTTTTTTTCTTTTAAATAAATAAATATATAAATAAATAATTAATTATTAATAAATATATAAACGCACGTTATTGGTGACGCGTATTTATTCACAAGTAGTGAGAGTTAGTTCCCGTAGACACTTAAGTGAGAGAGACGCCGACGCCGATCATATAGCGACGTAGCTAAAGATTATTGTTATTATTATATTATATAATACTTGAGATATAATTTAACTAAGAATTGTGTTGTTATTGTTTTGTTGTGATGTTGATCGAGACAATTATTATTGACGATCGGCGTGCGAACTTTGAACCGAAGACCGCTCCCTCCCCCTCCCCTACTCGTTTTGCTTTAATATTTATTTTTTTTTTTTGTTTCTTTCTTGCTTGTTCGCTAGTTGGTTGGCTTGCTAGCTATCTTGTTTGTTTGTTTGTTTGTTTGTTTGCTTGCTTGCTTGCTTGCTTGCTTGCTTACTCGTTCGCTCGTGCAATATATATAAATTAATTAATTACTGGACAATCGTATACTTTAAAAAAAAAAAAATAAATAAATAAATAAAAAATAAAAAAGATTATTTATAACCACCACAAATGCAGGTTGCATTCTAACAAATGGACAGACGCCGTATGTATGTTCTTAAGCGTGCGGTTGGACGATCGACCGTACGTCTGCCGCCGACCGCGCGAGTTTTACGACCCTCCACTTGAGACGGTCAAAATAGACGCGTTAGCGATGCGACGTTTGAATAATTGCTACAGATTCGAAGAACGGTATCTTCACACTTGTAACGTCGACTCGTACACGCCAAAAACTCGTGTACAATTAAGAAAAATAACTTTTAAAGTGGACCCGAGGTACTCGCGATACACAACGACAAAAATATACCGCTCTCGCGCGACGCACGCGAACCTCACCGCCTCGGCGGTGCGTCGGATGCGGAGATCAACTCGGACAGGTCACTCCGGCGGGTCGTCCAGACCTGAATATTGTGAATATGACGTTTTAGACGCAATTAATCGGACGCGGGCTAGTGAAAACTTGGAAGTGTTCATACGAGAAAACGTCTAGCGGCACACGGGTTCTCGATACGGTATTGCCGAAGGTTTCATCGGTCGCCATGTACTGAAACGCAGCATAGCAAAAATAAGTGTAAAATTGATTGAATAATCTCTCATCTTTATATCGATATTTACACGTGCGTAAAACAAACACACACACACGATGGCCGACACAGCTGTAGCGTCCGAAACCCCCGCACCGGCGACGCCGGCGAAGAAACCGAAGGCGTCCGCTTCAGCGGCCGGCGGCGTCAAGAAGGCGAAAGCCAAACCGACGCACCCGAAGACCTCCGAGATGGTGAACAACGCCATTAAGGAGCTGAAGGAGCGCAGCGGATCCTCCCTGCAGGCGATCAAGAAATATATAGCCGCGCAGTACAAGGTTGACGCTGAAAAATTGGCACCGTTCATCAGAAAGTATCTCAAGAGCGCCGTCGAATCGGGAGCTCTGATTCAGACCAAGGGTCAGGGCGCGTCCGGTTCCTTCAAGCTCGACAAGTCGAAATCCTCCGCCGGGGGCAAGAAGAAGAGGTCGACGGCGTCGAGCAGGACCGGCTCCGCGGGTGCCTCCGCCTCGGGCGGCGGTAAGGGATCCTCTTCGGCCTCCTCCGCCGCCGCTTCGGCGACCGCCAAGTCCAGAAAGAAGGAGACGGCCGGCGCCGGTAAGGCGAAGAAGGCCGCCTCGTCCGCCGCATCGCCGTCCAAGTCGAAGGCGGCCACCAAAGACAAGAAGGCGGCCGCCGCCAAAAGGAAACCCGCCGCCGCCGCCGCCGCTGCCGCCGCGAGAAAGGCCTCCACGCCGGCCAAGGCGAAAGGCGGCGCCGCCGCAGCCGCCGCACCGAAGGCCAAGAAGACCGCCAAGCCGCCGACCAAGAAACCGAAGGCGCCCAAACCGAAG